GGCTGCTAAAAGCTACCAAATGTGTGCCTGCAAAACTCTGCGACCACCGTTGACCAAACTCCTGCCCCCCCCGGCCCCCGTGGGCAGGCACCCCCAGACATGCGACACGTGGAGCAGCCCCGCGCTGGCCGTCGGTGCCGCGCCGAAATTTGGCACCGAGCATTTCGGTCTCCAGATCTTGCTCTCCACCTGCACAAGACCAGCGAGAACAGCAGGGTGATCGCACAGCCCTGCTCCCAACATCACCGAGACGCCTGTATCCGCAGGGCTCGTGAAGGGTTCCCAAAACAGGGAGAAGCTTCCCAAAGTGTCGCACATCCAAAAATCCCAAATTCTGGAAGCTCGAGCCGCGGACACTGCGGTGAACCCCAGGTGCTTTGAATCTTTATATTGAACTTCCCAACCCTTTCTCTTCTTGTTGCAATTATTCAGTCTATGGTTTAATGGGGTCAAATGAATCTTCAGCATACATTTCTTGAGGTTGAATAAAGTCTTTCAAACGTCTTTGATTTTTACGAATGTCTCTGTGGTGAGTGAGCTTGAACCAAGGATTGCTTTCAGCAAGAGACAGCATGAATTTAACTTGAGGTGTTGGTGAAAAAGTTTCCAGTGGCACCAGGTAAACACGTTAGTGCGTAACGTGTCGGATGTATTGTCTGATCGGTGTCTCAAATCCTCCTCATACAACAGCTTAAAAATACCCCATTTTCCATCGATGTTTTGATACCCGCTTCTGAAAACCCGCCTCTGTTAGCTGAGCTCTGTTTTTAATGCAAACCCCGCCAGCGATTGTTTCCAACAAATCTCCTCATTTATAATACACAGAATTTAAGCAATTTTTTTTTATTTTTTATTTTTTTTTTTACAATTGGCCAAGATTGTACCCTACAGAGCTGTGGGATGGAGCTGCCAGGTCCAGTGAGCTGTGACACACTGCTCTGCCCAGACCCCGGAGCCAGGCGGTAGCAGCGAGGTTGCCGCTCGTGCTCGTCAGCGCAGCTCACTCCTGTGATGAATTGCCAAGTTCTCAGATGAGCGGTGGGGGCAAGCGCGCGGGTTTCAGCCCACAATTTCTGCCTCTTGCTGTACAAATAGGAAACAAGCGGGTAGCGAGCTCGAAAGGAAAATGAGTCGTTTGTTCTGACCTGATTGATCACCGGGTTGCTTTCCAGCCCCACCAAGCCCAGGCCGCCAGCCCTGGAGATGCCTCAGGCAGTTGTCTTGGGCTGGCGGCAATGAGGTATTTCATCTATTTCAAAGAAAACCAAGCCCATCTGCTGCAGAAAGAGAAAATGCAACCCGAAAGTTCTCCTCTCAGGTGCTCCTGCCTCGAAATGAGTGTTTTTTTCTCTTTGATGGTCAAACAGATATTGTTCTCTTTTTTTTGTTGGGTGGTTTTGTTGTTTTTTTTCTTTTTTAACCGCTCCGGTCTATTTTTAGTGAGGAGGGGATGGTGTTCAAGAGCCTCTGCTGCTGGTCAGATCAGCTGCGGTTTGGGTGATGCTGGGCAAGTCAAGCAAAGCCCATTCTGATACTGGGTCTGCCGGTGCTGCTGACACCGGGGGTCCTGCGGCAGTGGGGTGGGACCCCCACCATGGTGGGGTCGAACCCACGGGCACCTTGCCATAGCCATAAATTAAATGCCTTTGGGAGGATTTTTTGGCTACTTTAATGGGTGAGCTGTGTGTGTAATGAGAAAAAAGGGATTATTTTTTTTGTTCCCCCCCACTTTCCTCAGTATCCCCACGTTTCAGGGGGATGCTGTCCTGCAAGATGTCCCTGTCTGGTCAACAGAGGCAGCAAGATGGAGCTGGAGGGTCTGGGGAGGGTGGTGCTCAGCCGTGGCAGCCCGGCACCATGCCACGTCTCAACAAACCACCACATTTGCTCTTTTTTCCGCTTAAAAGAAAATGGCGTGACCCCCTCGGGGCTCTTTGGGCTGGTGAGGAGAGTGATGGTGCAGCAGGGGTGTGGGCAGCACCCGTCACCCCGCTGTGATGCAGCTTCATGGCCGGGGCTGTTTAAGAGAGCCTTAGATCGATATCTTGGCAAAAAAAGAGTGGGTTTTTTTTTTGATCTCGGTCTCCCCACCCCAGCCTGCGAGCGGCCAGCATGGCCGGTGCTGGGGAGCACGCGTGCCTCCCGGCCAGGAGCAGAGGCGGGGGGGGGGGGCCCCCGCCTCCCGACACAGGGTTTCGCCG